CACGTTTTTAACCATCATGACAGCTCTCTAGGCCGTCACGTAAATGCCGCGTCATGTAAAAGCTTAGAAATTCAAGCGTAGTGTATCACAAAACCAAACGCCCATTCGGAGCGAAAATTTGTATGAAAATTAGTTTTCAGCTGCTCTTATACGTCATTTAAGTGAAATCTCAGGAAGATCAATAGTTTTGTGGTTCGAATTTTAGTGACGTCATGTGAAAACCAGCTATTACTATTACTTATCACGTTGTACGAACTCCCTGTTCGTGCCGAAATCGAGATATTTATCAGTGTTATTTAGTTTTGTGGTTGGAATTTCGGGTGGTTTTAAAAGCAGCTGAGAGGCAAATCTAAGTTCTGGGAGACGTAAGACGGATACCGCGGAAAACGAAATCTTTGTCATTGATCAAGCCTATGTCGTATGAAAGTAGACTCAAGTCCCTGGTTTCCATAAACGAAGTCATTTTTGTAAAGACACCTTGATGCTGCACACCCCGTTTCCAGTCCGCACTGCGCACTCTCGAGAGTTTGTTTACGTTTTTTGTTTTGTCTCATATAAGACATCACAAAATGTAAACATTTCGCAACTACTTACATGAAGTAAATGTAAAATTTCATGTCAACCGCCATTATGGACGTGAAGCTTTTTGCTTCTTTCTCATATCACTTGATGAAACAACTTCGCAGCTGTAAAAATCAATGAAGCTGTTGGAAAAAGAATTTGAAAGGTCTCAAAGATAAGAAATGTGGTTCGTAACGAATAACATCGATTCGCATTCCATCGAGTGAGACTTTTAATGTTGATAAACATTATGGTGCTGAGACTACGCAGTACGGACTGGAAACCATCTTTAAGTTGCCGTACAGCGAAATCTTTAATAATCCGTTTGAGTTTTTCGAAAAAAACGGCGTTGTCAGCCTAGTCCCTTACGGCCAAAGTAGCCGTAGTAGTAGCACGCCGTAGCGTATCTTAAATTTCAAAGACGTGGGAAATGCTGTTCGATTAACTACTAAGCCTGGTCCTCCTCTAGTGTCTGGGTTTGAGCGAAGTGGCTGAAACTTCTTAGAATTTAATTCCAGGAAGATCCTTGTAATTGGAATCTTCATAGCTTGCCGTCCAGAACTGCTAGTCAACTGTGTATTCTTAGAGTATGCATGTATACTGGGCACATCAAGATCAGCTCAGTGATCTCTTCGAACCTTTGATGATGTCACTATTTCTGTAGGGATTGGAAGTGTGGGGCTCGGCCTTTCAAGGCAAATATTTAGATCGGATTGAAACCTTCATTAGGCAAGCCTATACATCTGGCTATACAAATAAGATCATCCTGTTGTCTAACATAATAAAGATTAGAGACAGTGCTCTGTTCAACCGAACCACCAGTAATAATGGTCGTGTAATGTATCACTTGCTTCCACTTAAACGTAACAGGGCTTGTAGAGACGCGGGCCATGACTTCATGCTGCCTAGATTGAACACTGAACAATTTAAACATCCTTTTGCGACTAGATGTCTTCTAAGATTTATTTCTTAATATCATTGTATGATGTAACTTAATTTTTCCGTAGCTTTGTAGTTTTGTAATACATATGATTGGTTTTGAACTTAGAGTAGTTTTCAACTGAGTGCCCGAAGTAATCCAGCAATTATTTTGGTTTTAGCTTTGGTCTTGGTTTTACTACGATTTGAGATTGACTGAGTAGTCTAATTAGTAAGTAGTTGGTTTGGTTTTGGTTTTACGACACTCTCTTAAAAACCGCTCTTGTTCATTATTGATTATAGTAAGTCACATGAATGCCATGTCTGATCTAAACCTAAATCGAATTTTATGGAGATAGGGCTTATACCACGTATGACCCTAGATTGTAGAATCAGGGACGGAAACCCATAAAACGTAAAAACGAATAGAAAAAAAAGCTACTAAGAGCTCGCTTGTAAGCCCGCTCAATTCAAAATACGCTCCGTCATCTCTGGGAATAGCTATTACGTTTGACATTTGGAAACCGAGCAATGTTGCTACATTTAAGAGTACTTTAGAAACTTATCTTTCTAAAAGGTTTGTTAATATAGAGCGGTCTTATTCAGTCATTAACAGGATTGATGTGCTATATCATCTTTTTTTAACTGTACATATTTTTGTAAAGCGCCACGCACAAAAAGTGGATGGTGTGCGCTATAAAAGTGTTTCATCGTCATCATCATCATCATCATCATCATTATTACTATATTATCTTTAAATAAAGATTATTATTATTGAATACGTTTTCGATGTACGTTTAAAAAATTAAAAACAAAATGTGGTACTATGTGGTACTTTGAATACAAGAAGTAAAACACTATATCCAGCCAATAACATTGTATTTTCACGATTAAACGCTGGGTGTTCAACTGAGTTGGACTGAGTTGCAATCGTAAACAAAATTATCGTGTACCAATTCGAGGTAAAATAAAGCATTTAGAGTATAATGAAAAGTCTATATATGGCTGCCAAAAGTACTAAATAAACACCCTCGCTTTATAACAACCTGGTCGAAAAAGCTGCAGGAAACAAAGACCAATAGAGAAAATGCGGTTTGTACTTCACCGGTGCATTAAATTTGACCCGGCAGCTTCAGTTTTCGTGTAAAATATGGTAGCTTTTACTAAAAGTAATGAAGATTTCTTCCAATTAAAATAGCGCTTGCTACTGACGGAATTGTTTACATGTTACCTGAGGTTAGCATAAGACTCTGCGTTGAGAAGGAATCATGTTGGCTACAAATTGACTTTGACAGTTAGCATGAGATCTAGAGAAACTTGACACATAATAAATGTTCTAGCACTTTGAGTGTAATATTTAGTACTTTTGACTTGCAAAACGTACAAACATTCTTGTAAAATTAAACCAACGTCGCCCCAAAAGTGTTTAAAAGTTGTCATATTTCTCGGAACCGTTGATCTTGCTATGACCTTTAATATTCAGAAATGTTATTTTTGTAGTTCGGTCAGAAACTGAATCGCTTAAATATTGTAAAGAAAAATTTGCCTTTAGGTAATCAGGCGTCAGAAGTATGATCCCAGTTTTGTGCCATAAACAAAATCTTCAGAGTGCAGACGAAACAGTTTGAGTAAGCACTGCCCAATAGCTCGATGTAGTACAAGAGTATTTGCCACATAGTTACAATCGTCGACATCATAACTGAATGGGATGATGAACCCATCATGGCCCACTGGTGTTACACCAGATCTGTTAGCAAGCATTCCAATATACACATCGTCCATTCGAAAGGGCTTAATCACATCAAATAGAGGAACCAGACAATGGACTACGTCCCAGGACATAACAATGCCAGCACCACTACAGAAATCTGTGTAATATGTACGATTGTACTCTTCATAACTGATCTTAAATTTTCCATCTCGAGCTGCTTTAACATTGTGGTGTAGTTTGCCCATAAAGAGCCCTTGTTTTGGTGTTGATCTTCTTCGCAAGATTGTCACTAAATCTTTGGTGTTAACCAGCACATCGTCGTCTGCTTTGAGAAGGTAAGAAAAATTACAGTATCTGGCCGCCCATTCGAAGGCCATCTGTATCTTCAAACTCTGGTTCCAGTAATGTTCATAATAATCCGCACGAATCATGTCGCCATAGATGCTATCTTCTCTTTTGAGCAAATCTGATTGTGTTCGATTCCTTGTCTGACCAAGGAGAAAGTATGTCTTCCACTGAGTGGCTTTGTTGTTATCAGCGCCCCAAGTTTGACGAATAAAACTTCTCCTTTCCAAATTTGCCGGTGCAGACGAGACCAGGATAAGAAGGAAATACTTCCGTGTACAAGCAGTCTTGGTAATCAAAGTAGTTTTGTGCCGTAGAGTTGTTTTCCAAGATTTACAATCGTGGCGAGGAGTAAAGTTGTTCGAAAGAATAGGAGACTGCACAATAGAGTAGGAAGACCAGTTGATGCTGTGCCCAGTGGCCAATGCTGTTATTACAGCAGACACTATTATTCCAGCAAGATGAAGTTCAGTTCTCGAGAGAAACATCATTTTCCATGGTAATAGTACTAGATCGTATTTTAACTTGCGAAGCATGTTTTGAGTCTGATCAGCATTAGTTGACCACACTGCTCATTTGGTTAGTAACAAATCCTTTCTTTCGAGTTCGAGCTCCTCCTAGAAACAAAGTAATTTTATTGGTTTGTTAACAAGAAGAAAAACAATAAGTACTTATTTACAGAGTGGAAGCTTTAACTTGGACTGGACCTTGTTGTGGTGTAGAAGCTTGCGTGGTTCAATGATATCAAGAGCTGTGCTGACTGGGGTGTATAGTAACCCTGACATGTTCAACCATGTCAGACATTTCTTGAGTGGGAGTCCTGACAAAAGCAGTCCAGCAGTTTCTAGATCTGCTAAATCAGGTTGAGCAGAGGACCAGCAACCCCCTGCCATTAACAATCAATCCACTTCAGAAACTACTTCAGTAACAAATGCTATCCGGGCTCGGACTGGTAGGAATTTGTGATGGATGGAAGTTGTTGCTGTGTAGCCTTCTGCTCCACTCACAGGAGCGAAGACGATGAGTGAGAGAGTACCGAGTGGGAGAACCGACGGAAAATAATTGGTTCGAGGTCGTGCGTCCTGACCGAGAGCCAAATATTTTCCCGTCCAGTCAGACCTCAATCAGTCAATAAGTGGTGGAACGAGAACGCGGGCATAGCAGCATTGGCCTCGTTTGTGGTTGGGCCAAAACTCTTTTACATCATCGATGTAAACTTTCGAGGTCACGAAAAGCGGAAGTTCCCTTAATTTTTGTGTTTAAACACTGTAAAGGTAACTGGTGTATAATAACAACCACTTACAGGTGAATAAGTGTCAGCGATCGCCCCGCACTATATCAATAAAGCCATAAAGATATGGTCAGCGGAACACAACTCTCTCTTCAAATCGTATCAGAACGTGCCCACTGTTGTTGTAAATTTTGATTGATCAAAAAAAAAAAATGGTTAACTTTTTTGATGTCATGTTAGCCTCTTTTTGCTGCATGTCTGTTGACTACCAACTCCTCTCGCCAGGTTATATTATAGGGCATAAAAAATGTTCCTCAAGCTATTTTTTAAGCCCTCTGATCTATTGAATTGTGCAAGAATGTGCTAAGAGCAATTTGAACAACTTAGTAAAAATCATAAAAAAACATAAAGGGTTACTCACCATAATTTGAAGTTTACCCGTTTGTTTATTTTCAGTACAACCTTTACCCGTTGTTGAAAACTAAACTAATATTGATCAGATAAATTTTCGTTCTTCCAATTCCAAAAAAGCCAAGCCAGATTTATCAACAGTTTGATGTACAAGGTAAAGATTCATCCAACCATACGAGCTCAAGTTTGAGTGGAAGAAACCATGTGTTGTTTGGAAAATAAAAAAAAGATAAAAATGTGACGAGGCATCTCGCATCACGGTTAAAGTGCACCTAACCCCCAAATTTTTTTTTCGCTAAAACAAATCTAGACTTTATTTGAAGCATTTGGGCGAAGAAATTTTTGAATTTGGTTGAAT